TGATGGGTCATGATTGGAGCACTCTTGCAAAACAATCAACCACTGTTAAGGCATATAATCACACTGAAGCAAGCTCTTTTGTTTTAATCTATTTCAGTGTATACCATTGTGTAATTGCAAAAATTCTAGTTACCCGAAGTTACTTTTTTGTTTCAGTTATGGCTTTTTTTAGATTGCAGTTTATTTTTTGTTCTTTTGATCCCAATCTTTTAAAACTCCAAGAAGATATATATTTAAGTCAGATGGTAGAGATGCCACCTGTCAGTTGCAATGTATAGGAATTGCATTACACAGCACTAAGTCAACTAAGGCAACATGGTAAAAGCCTCAACTAGATGATTAAAACTCATAACAGCTCTAACAATTAAATTATCTATTTAATCAATTACAATTAAAGAACCAGGATTCCCTAATTCAGCTAATACTAATATTATTAAAGAAGTTCCCAGCATAATGGAATGAAAAGAAAAATATGAGTAATACTAGTAACTCTAATAAATGCAGGACTTATAAGTTTGATTTATTGCTAATGGAACACTGACACACGGGCAAATCAACTAAAGAATAAGTTAGAAGCATATTTAATAAAAATTACTGAGTGCAAAATGTTGTGAGAGGGGAAATGGAAAAATAGCACAAGAAAGAAGAAGAATGGATGAAAACAGACTACCATAAATTGTAATGAAAGATGATTTGACAATATTCTCATAGAAGATTAGAAATATAGCTAGTAATTCCTCTCCCAAAAGTACTACAAGATTGGATCAACAAGTGGAAGAAAACTTTAATACAGTTAACAATTTGTACAATATTTGGAGATTGTATAATATGGCATATAAAGAAATATATGATAAAATACATATAGGTACCTGCTATATAGCATTAAAATGTAGTCAAAATGTATAAGATTCTAGCATCTTACCACTAGATTCATAAAAACTGATATACAGAGAAATTGTTAAAAGTTTAATATAAATGGTAAAATACTTATATACATTTTATAATAATAACAATAATAATATGACTTTTTCATAATGTGAGCAAATATGGAGAATCAAAAAATAATATTAAGGTGAAAGATGATTCTTTTTATTAGTCTTATTTATTTTGTGTTATCACCAATTGTACACCTGATTTTCTAACATAAACTCTTTCAACAAAAACGCTGTAAACATTAATATATTCAACATTTTATATTAAAAGCCCTTAATCTTTTATTTACGATGAATATAAATATTATGTTTGTCAATACATTTAAAAAAATATTTTCAATAAATGTCCACCCCATCGCAATAAAAGGTTAGCGAATGATATACATGACATGTATACAAGGATTATTAAATAAAATTATTATAAAGAAGCGCATTGAAAGATTTATCGAATAAATTATATGTGTTGGTACACAGTAACAAAATAAACAAAAAAATCAACAGATATTTACCTAGATTTTGCAATTTTTCACAAAAAATCTGATTTGTTCAAGTCACAAATACGTACCTGAAAATCGTGAAAAAAATATTTTGCTGATAGAAGGGCCCCTTGATCTCCAGTGCTTGGCAACGTTATAAACAAGGTAAATTACTCAAACCACTTAATTTCCACACAGGTACCTTAAAATTTCTATTTCAAAACATTACAATCAATAAACGTAATTTTGTACAACCCCGGGAATTACTGAGCAATCTCAGACCTGCGGTTGGTTAAAACATCCATTTAATACAGATAAAACATTTAACAGGCTTGTCGTTACTTTATTCTGCGAGTTGTCGACACTGAATGTTGCTGTTTCGTTTTGTAGTTTGGGTTCGAGTATAAATGTGTCTCACTTTAACGAATGATTGACATGTGACATCTTACAAATATTTACTATGATTGAATTATAGTAAATATTTATTGGCATATTAAATCAGTACAGTAAAGTATCATCTAATTTGGATATTTTAATACCATTTTTGCAATTAAAAATATTTGCAAAGCCAACAATTCACAAAAGCAATCTACTACATAGGCAACACTTTTTACAATATCTTCTATTATCTCCCAAATGATTTGTTCTGTAATTTTACCTATATTTTCTTCCATTATATTTATACGATAGTATTTTAGTTATTATTATTTAGCCATTATAGTTCTGCCGGTATTTTATCTATTCCCGGTGCTTTATGGCTTTTTTTGTATGTGGATTGCCGTTTGGACCTCCTCTAGCGTTGGGGGTCTAGTTAATTCATTTTCTTCTTCATCTTCCCCAGCTCTTGTTGTTGTACCTCCTGCCGTGCCTGTTGCTGTAATGGTGGTTGTGTCCCTTTGTTTAGTAATTCCGATGAGTAATTCCTTAAAATATGTCACTCAGGTTCTCTTAATTTCGTCCATCTCGCTAATGATTTCACTCTTCTTATTTTTGCAGAGGCTAGTCTTCGGTTTGCATCCCTGTCTTAAATGTTTGATAAATCGGTATGCACTACGTGTTTCGTTTTCCTTAAACTCCCTTTCTATGTTTAGTATTCATTGGTTCTCGTACTTTCTTTTTCTGCCTGCACAGTTTATCTGCTCTTCATCTTTTTTTCTCAAATTCTGTTTTTCTCTCTCTAGTGTCTAGTACATCTGAATATGTAATTCTTATGTGTTTTATTTCTTTCCTGTATAGCTTGTTTGAGTTCTTCATCGAATCATGTTTCTTCTCTCCGTTGTGTCTTTGTTCCTAGAACTTCTTTCGCTGTGTTGAGTATGACACTGCTTATGGTGTTCTATTGTGGAGTCTGCTCTGTTTTCTTCTAGTAATTTTTCATCCACTGTTCTCTCAAATCTTTCTTGTACCTCAGAAACTTTTAGATTATCTAAGTTTAGTTTTTCTTGTTTTGGATATTTTTCCTTTACCTGTCGACTGATTTTGCATCTAAACTATATCTGTACTAACTACTACTACTGTTCTAAAAACTTGGAGTTACTAAATTTATCTATTATATTGCACTGCTTCTTCAACCAAATGACTAAGGACAATTACATATTGTCTCTAGGTTTCAATAATGCAAAGCTATTTAAAATTGTTTCAGAATATCTTATTCTATGTATATGTAAATTCCTACCCCCAGGTTTTAATTTGCCTAGACAGCAATCTAGGCTAACGAGATATCAATATATCATCAAAGTGCATATTAGCCATAGAAATTAATAAAGCATGCACCTACAAACACTTATGACTTAATATGCACAGTAGGATTTATTAATCTCACTCTCGATACCAAATAAAGTTTGGACTGTTATTTTTTCCAATATCATAAGATTAAAGTGAAAAAAAAATAGTTCAAAATTATTCTTTATTATAATAAAAAAGTCCACAATTTTATTTTATTAGAAATTATATTTAAAACTTAAAAAATAATATGATCATGCACAAACGACTAACCAAAAACACAAAAAAATATATCATAACATCTTGAACTATTCTCACAAAATACTGAATAAATATGTTTAACTTTCTAGAATATGGACGCCCTGAAAGAAGTATAATCGAAGAGAGTACACTTGAAGAGACTGGAATATCAGGCGAAAAATAAAAATCATGTATTTCAAAGGCTATCAAAGGCAGAAAGATCTTGTTTATGTAAAGGACACTAATGTCCACCTTTATAATATCACATACTGCTATTAAAAGGCTCCAAAAAATCGGAATTAGCAGAATATATAAATGTCTAGAGTTGGTCTGAGGAGGGGGAATTATCTGAGCCACTGATGTATCTTCATTTAATCTAGTGTTATAAAATATTGTTTGCACATCATTGTTTAAACTATTGGTTTGAATATTAAAGTTAGTAGATCTATCTACTTCATTAAAAAATGTGTGATTCTCTGTAGTATGGATGGTATGTGGTATGGCTTCTGTGATTTCATCTTGCTGAAATTGCTCAGGACTGCTACTGATACCTAAAACAAACATTGATAATGCTTATTTCCAATAGGCCATAGAAGTATACAATGACAATTATATTTTAATCTCATTATAAAAATTATTTGTTAATTAGACATATTTTGACTACATTTGACCCTAAAGCCACTATGATTATTTCTATGTACCGAATTTAAGGACCTTTCATTAAAGAGTTACTGTACAGAGAGATGGTAACATATTTCAATAAGGACTTGTTGGTCTTTAATAGGTAATAGATGGTTCAGCATAACAATGAGGTTGGATTCTATAGGCCTAAACACTGACAGAATACATTTTAAACAAATAGATCATTAAGAAGTTATTACATTAATGTAATAGGGAAGGTTCTACTTGAAATACTTTAATTACTTATGAAATTTGCCTAGAAAAATAAAATTTTATTCTTGCAATGAATGCCCTGCGGCCAAAACTCTATAATTTTATTTGCTCTACTGGGTACTATATAAATATGATTAAAATGAACCACATCAAATAAGATTTTCTAAATAAAACTCAACAGTTACTTTAACAAAATTACCTTCTATTTCTATCTTTGATTTATTTTCGACACCTGTTATTCTTTGTAGTCTACTCTCCGAATTTTGAAGAATTTTTCTCCTTCGGGCTTCCCTTCTAGCTTCAATATCTCCCATACTGATATTATTACAAAATTAAGTAAAACTGTACATTTCTGTTGTGTCACTTTTGGTCAGTAGCATTGAAAATATTCGCAAAAAGTAGGGTTATATTTACTTCCGCTTTAGAAGCTGTATATTATTTTTTTAAAGTGACTGTGTTAATGGTTTGAGTGGCATTCTGGTGATTCTAATTAATAAGAAAATTACTCTTTTGTAACACTTCTGTGCGAAAATATTTTAAGATTTATAACCTAATATAAAAAATTAAAACTAATGTATAGAGTGGGGATAATTTTGACATATTTTACTTTGCAACTTGTATTTGAATCTCAATTCTGGGAAATAATTGCAAACTGATATGGGATTATTATTTGATTGGCGTAGTATATCCAATGAATATTGGTATATGTGTGCATATACATACACTCTTTAAAGCTATTGCTACTGTAATTCTACTACAGAGTACAGAATGCATTTAGAATTAATTTTTAATATGTGATAAAGTATTCTAATACGCAAACTATTCTTTTCTTTCATACTTATACAGAGAAATTTGATAGTAAAGTGCGTGAGATCGGCTGTTAAGTTTATAACCATAAATTATTTTAAGATAAACATAACAGTTCAAGTGCCGAAGTTTGTTATGGAATAGGTCTCTCTCCTTCAAGGTTATATCCCTAAAAGTGGTTGAGTTGATCCGCTTTTTGCTGAAGTTTGAATCTTTGAATTCAGTTTTATCGGGATAGTGGATAGTAGGTACAACTAGGTGTAAAGAGGAAGCTGTGCTGTGATGTCTGAAAAAATAAATTACAAAAAAGTAAGTAAAACACGTATTTTAAATATATTCATAAAATATATTCATTATATAGAAATAAGTGTCTCATATGCATTAATATTTCAATAAACAAATATACAAAACAGTGCTTATTTAGAGAATTTATTCTAAATACAAATTCATTCATTCATTCATTCATTCATTATAAATTTGTGTATAAGAAAGTTTCAATTGTTAATTTTTAGACCATGTTTGACGTTTTAACCCGTTATAGAAATTATGTCTCCAAAATGAAGCATAGGTATTAAAAAAATGATTATTTTATTTTAGATAACGATTCTTGTTTTTATACATTTCATCTCCGCAGATATCGTTCCGTCTTGTCTTACTACACGACTACACTAGTATATACCAAAATTAATATCGAGTGTCGTGTCTTTCTAGTGGATCATGACTTTCATTCTACAAGGCTTCAGGCATCTCAAGAATTGTGAGATCATTTTCCTAAGGCATATTATTCCACTTTTTCTATAATTGCAAGAGGAAGTTCATGTATGTTCGTAAATATTCTCGGGAATTCTTACACATTTATCTAGATAGTCCAAGACGTGCTCAATTCGATTTGCATCCGCTGAAGATGCTAGCCAATTCAATTTCTCTGTTTTAATTTGAGTTTTAGGTATTCTGTTGAAGCAGCCCGGACTAAATGTCAGCTAAAATATCAGTAGTGTAAGTATAGTGTTGAAAGTACTCAATCTTCTCAAAACAAGCTCTAAAAATACGAAATTCTGTAGATAGTTCGGTCCATATCAATAGCGATCCTCCTCCAAGACTACGATGGGCGCTAAAAGTATACTCGATAAATAAAGTTCAAATAAGTTTAATAATTCCAATTAAGGTGAGAACAAAAAAAAACTTGCCAGCCGGTGTCATCCAAACAATTTTGGACCACTATTATAGGTACTTGTTTATTAGTTTAGTCCACTTATTTATGTACCTTGAACTTCACAAAAATGGTTTTTTTAGACTACATTTTTTTTAATTTTGATTCCTGAAAGGCAGTCCATACAAGAGACTTGTTATCAACAATCCGGATTTTTACATCTTCGACCACTTCCAGACTTTCGTTTCAGATACCAGTTTCTCTAAATTGCTACTAATTCGACCCTATAGTGAAATTAGCCCAGTCTGGTTATGCAAAAATCATCGATTTCACAGCAAAATTTTTCGCAGATATCTGAAGCTTTTAAGACATAGGTGGGGGTTACTAGATGACGAATAGATGAAAAAGTATTCGTATTTTTACCTTGCGTTTTTTTAACAATAATTTATGGTCACAATTAATTTTTTTTTATTTGCAAAAAAGCAGATTTTTGCACTAATTTCTAAATTTTATTAATTTTTTTATTAACAGAATAAAATGTTATTAATACATTTGAACATCGAGGAATTACCGTCTTTTACATTTGTGCGAAATTCCCTCCGATCGGTCAAATAGTTTAAAAGTTATTTAATTTAGTTATCCTAAGGGCTAAATATTTAAACTATTGAACTTGCTCTATTAAAGATGCTTGACACATTTAGCAAATTTCATAGGATTCTTTATAGACTAGACGGGATCTGTAGAAATTCAAACCATAATAGGAATCTATTTTTTTGCTGGAATCCCTTCAGGATATGCCCAATATCGATAATCACGATATGCGCCAGTCGCAAACCCTGTGCTAAATTTTTTATTTCACAAAATCTGAAAACAATTGAAAATTTCTCATTTTTTTTCTTCTATTTTCGTTTATAATTCGGAAAATATTGATCATAGAGAAAAAATTATAAATAGTTAAGTTTCGTTATTCAATTTTACATAATATTTCGTTAGCAAAAATTGAAAATTTAATGTTTATTGTTGAAAAAATAGCAATAATTGGAAAAAAAAGTACAAAAAATGAAGTTAATCCTTTAAATGTTTTCGACTTTCTAAACTTGACTTACAAGCACCATATTCCGCCTAGAAAAACTTTTTAATATGTTTAAAACGTGTGCTAAATTTTGTTAAGATCGGTCGGATAGGTTTTGCATAATAATTTTGCAATCCAGACTACTGGAAAAAAATCGCAAATTTACAAATTTATAGTAGGCTCTAAATAAGGCTCTTACGGGCTTTACGGAAAAGGCCCTTAGGACTTAGGCCCTTACGGAAAATTTAATCCTTTACGGATTAAATTTTCAATTTGTAGCTAACGAAATATTGTGTAAAATTGAATAACGAAACTTTAAACTTCTTATAATTTTTTCTTTAAATGATCAATATTTTTCGAATTATAAACGAAAATAGGAGCAAAAAAATGAGAAATTTTCATTTGTTTTCAGATTTTGTTAAATAAAAATTAGGCACAGGGTTTGCGACTGGCGCATATCGTTATTATCGATATTGGGCACATCCTGAAGGTATTCCAGCAAAAAAATAGCTTCCTGTGGAAAATGTCCAATCCAAAACAGATCCCGCCTAGACTATAAGACAAACTATCTCATAAATTAAATGCATATTGCGTTTTCATCGAAATTATTTACAAAATAAACGTTTGAAAAAGGGGTATGGTTTTTACTTATAAACAATTGTAATAACTTCTATATATTTAAATATAAAGAGATTTTGTAGGAAACTCATGATAACTTTGAATGATAGAGAGCTTCGAATTACCGCAGGTTTGAATTAACGCGAGTCGATGTATTCGGCGTGTTTATATGTTTAAATTTTTGGAGACCCCACATACCGGACCGCTCCCCTTAGTTACGCCACTGATTTCTGTTCTTATGATATTTGATAAATCTTATTAAAAACTTCATATCGGACTTAACGTTCTTTAAAGTAGTTAAAATTAATTGAATTTTCAAAATGAAAATAAAATGGGTATTTATGTGTGTATAACCAATACTGCTCCATCTTTTTGACTTCAATTTAATCTTTCATCAATAAATATATACGTCTAGTCTGTAAACACTTATCTCCATAAAATGCTGAGTGTTAAAGAATTATTGAGCTTTGACAGCAGTAACTCATAAAAATGAAACTTAATCTAAGTCGTACGAGTTGTAATCAAATAGGTCATTTACTAATAAGAAAATCAAAATAATCTCGGTTTTCATTTTAATATTTTCCTGCGTACAGTTAAATAGGTAATATCGTCGGCTTACAAGCGAAACACACTAAGTCAATTTTTTTCACTTTTGAGTTATTTGCAGCATTTTATTGTATTTTTTTTACTCTTTAGACTGGTTAAACTCACTAAGTCATACAATAACAAAAACGGTTATTTTTATAATTATCATGTTTCTCACTAAGTCTCAAAAACTATATATGATTCAGGCAAAACACACTAAGTGACTTAATGTATTTCACTTGACTACGAATGAACCTACCGACTGACTTACGCAGAGCAACTTGTCCAATCTTGTAAAAAATTAATTACCCATTTGTTTGGTTATATTGCATAGGTTTTGTCAGTTTTATTCCAGTATTTTGCGTGATTAGGTCGTTAACAGTTTTGAATTTTGTGTGTATTTATTAATTAATTTCTGTAAGAAAAATAAAATTTTCTGTCGAACTACCTACAGCGATAAAGAAAGACGTGAGCCTAAATTCTGATAATTTTTGTCAAGATATTCAGTCAGGTCCTCCTCAAATAAGTGACCAGGATTCTGATGAATGTATGGAGAATAGCGACTATATTCCTTCAGGTAATGAAAGTGATCATTTAGATACCAGTGAAGGAAACTCTACAGCAGACGAGGAAAAAACAAATTTAAATGAAATAAGTCAAGTACGACCTAAAAGAAGCCGATGGAATACCCCAAGACCATCTGTGTGGTCAACATCCCAAGACCATCAACTTTTCTGAAGAGAACCGGAAGTTGCTATGTCAAACTTATGCGATGTTGTCAGTTCAAAGACAGAAAGATTTTATATTCTTGAATGTGCTTTCTAATAAGGCCTAGGAAAGGAGAAAATAGCAAAATGCGATTCAACGCAAAATCCTATTTTTTCACAAATATGGGAAAGAAAAGTCAAGTGTGTCAGAAATTTTTTTGTAAAACATTTTCTATTTTCTAATAGGCCTATAATTAATGCCTTTATAGAGCAAAATGTAAGCGGCGAATATAGTGGAATAGACAGAAGGGGCCGTAGGAGTCCTGGCAATAAAACTTCAGTGGAAGCAAGAATAAGAGCAAAAAAACACATTGAAAGCTTTCCCGATGTAGAAAGTCACTACACTAGAAAGTCTTCGAAAAGACTTTATTTAGATTGCAATCTTAATATTAAAAAAATGCACGACCTGTTCGTTAAAAAGTTCGTTAAAAAGACGACAATTTGCCAAGCTTAAGTTAGATAACCTATAGGCGAATCTTTTGCAAGGAATTTAATATATCATTTTTCAAACCTAAGAAAGACCAATGTTTGACCTGTAAGGAATACACAAAAGCATCGCATTAAGAAAAAGAAGCGATGGAGCTTAATTATAGGAGTCATTTAGACAGAAAAGAGGCTGCAATGAAAGAAAAAAAATCAGACAAAGAAGTATCGAAAAAGAATAAAAAATTTAAATCAATTACATGTGATATGCAAAGCGTTTTACAAATTCCATCATCGCAAGTAAGTCTCTTTTATTATCTTAGAAAGCTGAAAGCTGTATAATTTTACAATTTAGAAATCTACTCCACCGAATGAGGCATTCTGTTATTTTTGGACCGAAGTCAATGGTAAGCATGGAAGATGTGCAATTGGTACTTGCCTAGGAATATACATTAATTCATTATCTGATATATAATATCTAACGATTTTTTCAGATACGTGTGGAGGACAGAACAAAAATATTCAAGTATCTGCTCTGCTTTTACATATTGTTAAAAACCATCCGAGTCTTCGGATAATTGAGCAAAAGTTCATGGAAAGTGGACACTCCTATATGGAAGTAGATTCCATGCATAGCGCTATTGAAGTGCCAATAAAAATGTGGAGATTTTTAGTGTTCACGAATATAACAATG